TAGCATCAGGGAAGAACCCAATTGAAACTAAATTTGTTCAATTCTAGTATACAATCTTGTAAACGTGGAGACAATATGCAAGTCGCAATTGATCTTCATGTTGTGCAGGAAACAAGCAGCCAAAATGCGCACTTGGACTACTGTCAAGATTGTGGCCATAGTAGAGTAGAGCTAAAGTCTAGCCTAGCTCCTGGCCCTAACCTTAACCATAGAGGGGAACAGCCCTAAACTTAACCAGTCACAGGAAGACATAAATTGGAAACTAAATTAGTTCATTGGTTACACAACAAGAGTGGGGGGGCGGAGCCTGTACACCATATAAAAGAGGACACCGAACAGAGTGCCTCCAGTCAGTGTAGAACTCGCCTGAAGAAGACACAAGAAGCTGTCGAAACGTAGCGCATACAATTTTTTCTACACATACACTCTACTATAGAGCAATTTTTTGAACCCCCTGGACACAAGATGGCGGCCATCATGGTGGTTGCCAGTGCCCAGAACACCCGCTTGGTCCAGAGTCAGGGAGAGGGCCCGTGCATTTTGTTGTACCCTTCGGGGGACAATGACTTTGTATACTAATTACTGGCCAGTGCCTCGCCCAGTCTCTGGACACCATGACCTTAACTCAAGGCACTAGCATTAGCATCAGGGAAGAACCCAATTGAAACTAAATTTGTTCAATTCTAGTATACAATCTTGTAAACGTGGAGACAATATGCAAGTCGCAATTGATCTTCATGTTGTGCAGGAAACAAGCAGCCAAAATGCGCACTTGGACTACTGTCAAGATTGTGGCCATAGTAGAGTAGAGCTAAAGTCTAGCCTAGCTCCTGGCCCTAACCTTAACCATAGAGGGGAACAGCCCTAAACTTAACCAGTCACAGGAAGACATAAATTGGAAACTAAATTAGTTCATTGGTTACACAACAAGAGGGGGGGGGCGGAGCCTGTACACCATATAAAAGAGGACACCGAACAGAGTGCCTCCAGTCAGTGTAGAACTCGCCTGAAGAAGACACAAGAAGCTGTCGAAACGTAGCGCATACAATTTTTCTACACATACACTCTACTATAGAGCAATTTTTTGAACCCCCTGGACACAAGATGGCGGCCATCATGGTGGTTGCCAGTGCCCAGAACACCCGCTTGGTCCAGAGTCAGGGAGAGGGCCCGTGCATTTTGTTGTACCCTTCGGGGGACAATGACTTTGTATACTAATTACTGGCCAGTGCCTCGCCCAGTCTCTGGACACCATGACCTTAACTCAAGGCACTAGCATTAGCATCAGGGAAGAACCCAATTGAAACTAAATTTGTTCAATTCTAGTATACAATCTTGTAAACGTGGAGACAATATGCAAGTCGCAATTGATCTTCATGTTGTGCAGGAAACAAGCAGCCAAAATGCGCACTTGGACTACTGTCAAGATTGTGGCCATAGTAGAGTAGAGCTAAAGTCTAGCCTAGCTCCTGGCCCTAACCTTAACCATAGAGGGGAACAGCCCTAAACTTAACCAGTCACAGGAAGACATAAATTGGAAACTAAATTAGTTCATTGGTTACTCAACAAGAGTGGGGGGGCGGAGCCTGTACACCATATAAAAGAGGACACCGAACAGAGTGCCTCCAGTCAGTGTAGAACTCGCCTGAAGAAGACACAAGAAGCTGTCGAAACGTAGCGCATACAATTTTTCTACACATACACTCTACTATAGAGCAATTTTTTGAACCCCCTGGACACAAGATGGCGGCCATCATGGTGGTTGCCAGTGCCCAGAACACCCGCTTGGTCCAGAGTCAGGGAGAGGGCCCGTGCATTTTGTTGTACCCTTCGGGGGACAATGACTTTGTATACTAATTACTGGCCAGTGCCTCGCCCAGTCTCTGGACACCATGACCTTAACTCAAGGCACTAGCATTAGCATCAGGGAAGAACCCAATTGAAACTAAATTTGTTCAATTCTAGTATACAATCTTGTAAACGTGGAGACAATATGCAAGTCGCAATTGATCTTCATGTTGTGCAGGAAACAAGCAGCCAAAATGCGCACTTGGACTACTGTCAAGATTGTGGCCATAGTAGAGTAGAGCTAAAGTCTAGCCTAGCTCCTGGCCCTAACCTTAACCTAGAGGGGAACAGCCCTAAACTTAACCAGTCACAGGAAGACATAAATTGGAAACTAAATTAGTTCATTGGTTACACAACAAGAGTGGGGGGGCGGAGCCTGTACACCATATAAAAGAGGACACCGAACAGAGTGCCTCCAGTCAGTGTAGAACTCGCCTGAAGAAGACACAAGAAGCTGTCGAAACGTAGCGCATACAATTTTTCTACACATACACTCTACTATAGAGCAATTTTTTGAACCCCCTGGACACAAGATGGCGGCCATCATGGTGGTTGCCAGTGCCCAGAACACTCGCTTGGTCCAGAGTCAGGGAGAGGGCCCGTGCATTTTGTTGTACCCTTCGGGGGACAATGACTTTGTATACTAATTACTGGCCAGTGCCTCGCCCAGTCTCTGGACACCATGACCTTAACTCAAGGCAACTAGCATTAGCATCAGGGAAGAACCCAATTGAAACTAAATTTGTTCAATTCTAGTATACAATCTTGTAAACGTGGAGACAATATGCAAGTCGCAATTGATCTTCATGTTGTGCAGGAAACAAGCAGCCAAAATGCGCACTTGGACTACTGTCAAGATTGTGGCCATAGTAGAGTAGAGCTAAAGTCTAGCCTAGCTCCTGGCCCTAACCTTAACCATAGAGGGGAACAGCCCTAAACTTAACCAGTCACAGGAAGACATAAATTGGAAACTAAATTAGTTCATTGGTTACACAACAAGAGTGGGGGGGCGGAGCCTGTACACCATATAAAAAGGACACCGAACAGAGTGCCTCCAGTCAGTGTAGAACTCGCCTGAAGAAGACACAAGAAGCTGTCGAAACGTAGCGCATACAATTTTTCTACACATACACTCTACTATAGAGCAATTTTTTGAACCCCCTGGACACAAGATGGCGGCCATCATGGTGGTTGCCAGTGCCCAGAACACTCGCTTGGTCCAGAGTCAGGGAGAGGGCCCGTGCATTTTGTTGTACCCTTCGGGGGACAATGACTTTGTATACTAACCCTAACCCTAACCCTAACCCTAACCCACTGGACCTGTTACTGCTATACAAAACCCACACCCCCTGGTCCCTGGAGGTCTCCAGGCCGGGTATGGGGCCTCATTCCCGGCTTGGGATACTCCCAGAGACCCCCCTGGTCCTCTGGAGCCCGGGACCGGTCTGGTTCCCAGTGTGGTGCCCTGGTTCTGGGACCAGTAGCACTTGGAATTAGTATGAAACCCACTGGACCTGTTACTGCTATACAAAACCCACACCCCCTGGTCCCTGGAGGTCTCCAGGCCGGGTATGGGGCCTCATTCCCGGCTTGGGATACTCCCAGAGACCCCCCTGGTCCTCTGGAGCCCGGGACCGGTCTGGTTCCCAGTGTGGTACACTCAAAAGGCCACCAAAGATCACAGATCTCCCCCAGGAAAGAGCCTCAGAAGTCGGGTTGGGGACTTCCAGATACTCCCTGGTTCCTACATTGACCTCAAAGTGCCTATAAAGCGTGGGCCCCCGCTCGACCCCGCCCGTGGTCGAGTGGTTAAGGTGATGGACTGTTGCGCCAGCAGTCCGGGTTCAAAACCCGGAGATACCATTGATGGACTTAGACAAATTTTCAAATCTGCTGCCAGAACCAGGCCTGTCATGGTTGTCCTAACCCTAACCCTATCCAAACGGAGGATTACATATCTACGCTCAAACTATTATCTGGACTTAAACATGGAACTGGTCTGAACCGAAGTGGACTGTGCAGGTCATTTATAAGGTAAGACCCATAACTCATAGTTTTGTGTTTTGTTTGAACAAACAATGCATGAAACATATTCTGCTGTAGCCAAACAAACTGTCCACTTGATTTATATGATATATATATATATATATATATATATATATATATATGTTCATCTGATTGGGCTGAAGTCAGTGCTTCACCGGTGTTTCCACATTCACAGTGGAGCGTGTTGGTGTTTAGTGCTTACACAGAGACAGATGAAGAGTGAACAGGACTTCAGCAGAAAAACAGACTTTTCTAGATGGAAATATTGGCACTATTTCAGACTCACTGAGGTTAAAGGTTAAAGGTCAACATGTGCACGTCGAGTGCACATTATGTTCCAGAACAAAACGAAAAAGTAACGCAATAGTTACTTTTACTGGTAACTAGTTACTTTTACAGTGGAGTAACTCCGTTAGTAACTCAGTTACCTTTTGGGAGAAGTAACTAGTAACTATAACTAATTACTTTTTCAAAGTAACGTGCCCAACACTGCAAACATCAATCAACAAGTAACAAGACGCTGTATTTAAAACATCTAAATATTGAATTCAGAATGTTATTATTAATATTATTCACTTTTAAGTCAGAGTTGCAGTGACTTGGCCTTGGACTATGGATGCGTGGCTCTATATTTGTATTGAACTGAAAAACTTTCTTCTTCAGACACTATAGAGATAATCTACATCTGTGAAACTGAATGTGTACATGAAGAGCAGCTTCAGGGACAGACTGATCCACCCTCGCTGTGTGAAGGAGAGGTTGCACAGGCCTTCTGCGGCTGTCAGACTGTACAATGAAAACTGCGGCCTCTGTACATGTCGTCTCATCTGTAAATAGTAAATACTGCAATCATGAGTAATACTGAAATTTCAGAACGTTCACTGAATTTACTCTCTTCACGCTTCCATATATGTATACAGTTTACATATACACACATATTGATATTTACTCGCTGCTATTAGGAAACATTTACAGCAACTTTGGAATTTCCCCGGTGTCGGGCCAATTTACAGTCTTAAAACTATAAAATATTTGAGGGGATTCATGAGTCACACAAACATGAAGCTGGAATAAAATCTGATCCGGAGTCAGTTCCACAGACTCACCCTGGTGGAGACTCTGTAGGCCACGTATGCGTTCATGCCGTCCCCTGTGAGAGAGAAGACGGTCAAACTATCATTGAGAGGACGGGGGCGGAGGTGACAGGAGCAAACATGTGCTGCTTTGGTTCAGTTTGGGTTCAATCATCCAACTTTCTGGATTCCGGCTCAGACACACATCATTACCATTCATTTGCAGTTTTGTAAATTGTAGATTATAAGGCCTTACATCGCCACCTATAAAATTCCAAACTTAAGTATTTCAGTCTACTTCTGGGATGAGTCTTATTGTCCTCCATGTTTGTAAAGTCGAGGGACATGAATCAAAATTGGTCTGCAATGTTAAGAATCGCTCTAATATTGAGTTGTGGCCCAAACATCACAGCACATTTGTTCCCAGTTCCCAGATCTATTACTGAGGTTTATTACAAGCTCAGTCAGATATATATGTTCTCTTCACAAACAGAGAGAGATCAGCAGGAATCGGCAAAGACTGAAATCCCATGGCGTCAGTTAGAGCCACATTCCAGCCTCATGGTTCCAGTGTTGGCTTCACTGTGACATCAGGAGAAAGAAGCAGAGACTGACCCACTTTCTCAGGACTGGTGACCGAGATGTCCACATCAAAGCTGTCCTTGGCTTCTTCATCTTCCTCCAACTGTTGCAGGTCACAAGCAGAGTATCAGCAAAACAGAGACAGAGGACCTCAAACATGCGCCCCCTAGTGGACGTCCAAGTTAATGGTAGTTCGGCCTCCACTGAGCGTCTTTAAAACGATGTATAACACATTTGCAGAGAGATTATCAGAAAAACAACCACAGCATTTATTTTTCCAAACACATTGAACCCTGAATGCAATAAACTGTCTGAGTGGATCCTGGACTACCTCACAGACAGACCCCAGTTTGTGAGAACCAGGGACTACGTGTCTGAGGTCCTGACCTGCAGTGTGGGGGCCCCCCAGGGGACAGTCCTCGCACCGTTCCTCTTCACCCTCTACACTGCGGACTTCAGACACAACACGGATGGTTGTGTTCTACAGAAGTTCTCAGACGACTCTGCAATCATCGGACTCAGCTCCGAGGACGATGACACAGAGTACAGAGGAGTTATACAAGACTTTGTGGACTGGTGTCAGCGGAACCACCTCCTCATCAACGCGGGGAAGACCAAGGAGATGGTGGTGGATTTCCGCAGACGTCATTCTGCCGCTCCAGCTCCAGTGAACATCCAGGGAAAGGGAATTGAGAGAGTGGACTCTTACAAGTACCTGGGTGTTCATCTGAACCACAAACTGGACTGGACTCATAACACAGACGCCCTCTTCAAGAAGGGCCAGAGCCGCCTCTACCTGCTGAGGAGGCTCAGGTCTTTTGGAGTGCAGGGGCCACTCCTGAAGACCTTCTATGACTCTGTGGTGGCATCAGCCATCTTGTATGGTGTGGTCTGCTGGAACAGCAGTATCACAGAGAGGGACAGGAAGAAGCTGGACAAGGTCATCAGGAAGTCCAGCTCAGTCCTGGGCTGTTCCCTGGACACAGTGCAGCAGGTGGGGGACAGGAGGGTCCTGAGCAAACTAACATCTATGCTGGACCATGACTGTCACCCCCTGCAGGACACTCTCTCTGCTCTGGAGAGCAGCTTCAGTGACAGACTAATTCACCCTCGATGTGTGAAGGAGAGGTTTCGCAGGTCTTTCCTTCCTGCTGCTGTCAGACTGTACAACGAGAATGTGTAACAGGAACTGCTGAGTCTGCACAAGTGTTTCTGATAATTCACTAGTAACTTTGTCACTAGTCACTTTACCTGTTATCAGTACTACTACAGTACTACATGTCTGATATTTACTGTTATCAGTACTACTGTATTATTTCATATCTGATAATTCTGCCTTCCACCGTCACTTTACCTGTTGATATCTTACTGTATTATTCATATCCATCTGATAATTCTCCCATTCAAGTCACTTCAGATTCAGATTCATTTCCTACTTTACCTGTTGATATTATTTCTGATGTTTATTCTGCTCATATTCTCATATTCTCCGCTGCTAATGTATAATATAGACATCTGTAAATACTCCGAACCAAGTGCAATTGTAGCCCAGATTTTCTTATCTTATTTTATTTTATTTTATCTTAAATTTATTGTCTATTATCTTAAATAATAGACTTTGATGTGTGCAATCTGAGTGCTCTTATTTCCTTTCTCTGCTGTAATGTGCAACGATGACTCCACTGTGAGACTAATAAAGGTTTATCTTATGAGTAATAATTCAAGTGGACTTTGTTAAACCGAGTCTACAAAACAAGTCTCCAGTCTCTGTTTCGAGCCCAAACCTTTACTTTCTCTGTTAATGCAAAATGAGACCAGAGAGAGAGAGAGAAAAACAGAGAAAGAGAGCGACAAGAGAAAAAACAGACCAGAGAGACCAGAGACAGAGAGAAAGAGAGAGAGACCAAAGAGAGTGAGAGAGACAGAGACCAGAGAGAGAAAGAGAGACAGAGAGACAGAGAGAGAGACCAAAGAGAGAGAAAGACAGAGACCAGAGAGAGAAAGAGAGACAGAGAGAGAGACCAAAGAGAAAGAGAGAGAGACAGAGAAAGGAAGAGAGAGAGAGAGACCAAAGAGAGTGAGAGAGACAGAGACCAGAGAGAGAAAGAGAAAGAGAGACAAGAGAAAAAACAGACCAGAGAGACCAGAGACAGAGAGAGAGAGAAAGAGAGACAGAGAGAGACCAGAGAGATAGAGAGACCAGAGAGTGAGAGAGACAGAGACCAGAGAGAGAAAGAGAGACAAGAGAGAGAGACCAGAGATAGAGACCCGAGAGAGAGAGTGAGAGAAGAGAGAGAGAGACCAGACAGAGACTGTACTTTCTCTACTGTTAATGTTAGAATGATAATATTCAGGTTCATTATACTTATCCCGGAGCTAAACTGCGTGAGCAAAGTAAAATAGCGTGTGCAGTTTTAGTGTTTCTGTCTCTGCGTGTGCACAGATCCACACTCCCAGATACACGAGGCCCCTGTAGATCGTTACCTGCTCCAGAGAGGTGTGCTGAGCGGGGGGGAAGGAGGGCGTGGTGCAGGGGGCGGGGCCAGAGCTGCTCACCTCCACACGGGCGTCTGCAGCCAATCAGAACAAAGGGTGTCAAACAGTCACAATTTATTAAATCCATGTTAAATGGTAGAACACTAAAAACAAAAATAGTGTCATGGAGGCCAGGATAATGTAGTGTAGACAACTTAGTATTATCACAAAGTGTGATGTCATGTTTTTATGATGAAAGTGAATCAAAAATAAAAGGTCTGAGATCAAGTAACAAATGTATGAAAGTGTGTGGACTTCAGCACGGAGCGAGCAGAGGGCGGGAGTGTGTGGTCAGAGAGTGTTCGGGCCTGTGTCTTGTCGTGTGTTGTGTGTGTGTGCGTGCGATAGTGTTGCGTGTGTGATTGTGTGTGTTGTGCTGAATGAGTGAAGGGTTGGAGCCAAATAAGCGTCTGCTTCTTTTCAAACAGTTTATTTTGTGTCTTGTTTTTATTTATATTGTTTTCTTTTGCATAAAGTTTGAAAGAAATCCTTACGACTACTCGGGCTGGGCGATATGACTGAAAACGATATCACAAAATAAGTGATTCAAAGCGGTCAATATCGATTATTATTGGGGGGTTTTCTAAAACCTAAATAAATACATTTGTTTGTTGTGTCGGCTAACAGACGTTAGCAGCCCTTGTTTACAGTCACGGGGGAATGACAACTCAGGCTGAAGGCAAATGTTCATAAGCACAGAGTCCCCCATTGTCAGTCCTGGTTTAGTCCTGGTTTAGTCCTGGTTTAGTCCTGGTTTAGTCCTGGTTTAGTCCTGGTTTAGCTCCTGTTCAGGCTGTTTTTGAGTGTCTTGTGTCCCTGTGACGGCTCCGTGCAGCTCTCTGATAGCTCTCTGATAGCTCTCTGATAGCTCTCTCTGATAGCTCTCTGATAGCTCTCTGATAGCCACACATGAGTCTCTGTGCCCTCTGCTGCACATGCGGTTCCTCACACGGACAGAACCATTGACACGGCCTGAAACACGATCTTTAGATCCATGGACGCTACACATGGTGCGGTCAGACTGTTGCGGTTGTTTGTTTTTTTGCATTTCCCAGAATGCTTTGCGGTTTATACTCGGCTGTGATAGGTTGAGAAGTCTTTGCCTACGTCCCCCAGAATGCCATGTGCTTCTGACTCTGCTTTACTTCCTGTGTTTTCCTGTTTTTGAAGTGAAGTTGAACTATCAAACATTCTATCGACCTTGTTTTCTATTGATATCGAACACGTGTCTATCGCGGTATATATCGTTATCGTTTTATTGCCCAGCCCCAACTACCACTAATACTACCACTAATACTACCACTAATACTACCACTAATACTACCAACTAATACTACCACTAATACTACCACTAATACTACCACTAATACTACAACTAATACTACCACTAATACTACCACTAATACTACCACTAATACTACCACTAATACTACCACTAATACTATCACTAATACTACCACTAATACTATCACTAATACTACCACTAATACTACCACTACGGACTGATCTGCGATCGCTGCTACAGTATGAAGAGGACAGTGTTCTTTCTGCCGTCATCTTTTGTTTAGACCCAGGATTGTTTGTTTTCTGTCTCAGATTGAACCCCTTTATTATTCCTGATGTGACGGGGTGAGCCCGTCCCTGAGCACGCTGTCCCACGGAGCGCATCTGAAGTTGCGCGCGCCCGGTGCCATGGTGGCTGCGCGCAAAGCCCAAACCCATTCATTGACTACTGGCAGTAAGGATTGTGTTTGTGACATGTAGCGTGCGGTAACGCGTCTTCAGGGCGCACACTTGGGGCAGTTGCATCTAGTTACATGTGTCATTCACTCGCCTGTGCTGGCGTGGTCGTGGCGTCTCCGTGGTGCGTTTTGGCAAACCCGGACACAAGGAGCCATAGGATTAAATGCACCTGTCTGTGGGTCATGTGACCACAGCTCATTTGCATGGACATTTGGACTCTTCGTAGTGTGTAGCTCAATGTATTTGATGATAAATGTGTCAATGTGGAACTGTAATATGAAATCATTAACCTACGGAAATACTCATGTAGTGTAGATATGATGTAATATTAGGATAATTGATTTGTAATGTGGGAGGGGCCAGCAGAGTACAAAACGTGTGCTTGTCTGCCCCATTTGGGGGTGTGACTCATTAAGGCGCGTTCAGACCAAAAGCTTCAAAAAGCTTTTGACGCGCTTCAACTTACGCCGGGATAGTTTTGTCATTTTGATGCTTGAAGCTTTTGACGCGAGTGACGCGCCTGACGCCGGTGGGAGGAGCTTCTCTGTTGTCTGTGGGAGGAGCTTCTCTGTTGTCTGTGGGAGGAGCTTCTCTGTTGTCTGTAGTCAGGACAGCGGTGGATTTGTCAATGAGCAGCGAGCCTTTATTTGTTATATAAAGTAGAATAACGTTGTTGTAGGGCTTCAACAAAACATGTTCTGGGTTCACCACAGACTTGAGAGGCTGCAGTGTTTGCAGAGTTCCGTCAGTTACTCCCGGAGCTGCGTACGGAGGAGTTTCGCTTTCAGCGGTACTTCCGCATGTCACTCGCCCAGTCTGAGTTCTCAAACCCCGGAGCTCGCCTCTCCCCGCCTCTCCCTGCCTCTCCCTGCCTCTCCCTGCCTCTCCCCGGCTCTCCACGGCTCTCGCTCGCCTCTCCCTGCCTCTCCCCGGCTCTCGCCCGCCTCTCCCCGCCTCTCCACGGCTCTCGCTCGCCTCTCCCCGCCTCTCCCCGGCTCTCGCCCGCCTCTCCCCGGCTCTCGCCCGCCCGGAGCTGCCTTGCTCTGAGCCAGACTCATCGTCAGCCTGTTCTTATTTTAAATAAACTACGTTTACTACACAGCATGTGTACAATGATTTTAGTTACTCAGAACGTTACTACTCATACAAATAATATTACTAATAACAATAATGACAATAAAACAGCAGCAGCATGACTTCTCTTCATGACAGAGACAGACCCTCTGCTGCTGCTGCTCCTCGTCTCCTGATTGGTTGAAGCTTGCGTCAAAGCTTCAAAAGCTCAGCTTTGCTCAGCTTCGGCGTCAAAGGGATTATTTTGATACGCGAGCGTTTCGCGCGTCAAAAGCTTCAAGTGAGCGCGTATTACACGCGACCTTTGAAGCTTTTGACGCGCGCCAAGTGACGCCGGGCCCCTCGGCTTCACCGGACGCGCTTCACCATTCACTTTCAATGCAAACCTGATGCTTTTGACGCCGAAGTTAAGTCCGGTGTGAACGCCCCTTTACAGTGAAGGTAATGTGGACTGCAGGAGCTTGAGTGGAAAGTAAGGGAAAAGAGACTTATTGCAGAAGTTGTGTGTATTTTTATTTGTAAATATCCTTTTCGCCTGAAGACTTTTCACTGTGTTCTGTAAAAACGTTTATTTTAATTTCCCACTGTTTTTTGTACTGAGAGTTTTTAATTAAAAACTTCTGAAAACGCCCTTTCCGACCCAGCCATGTGTTCTGTAAAAAAAACCTCACACCTGAGCAGAGTCTGATCAATGTTCGGTCATCACTGTGTGTGACAGATAAGTTTCCACAGAACAAAGTTAGAATATGGTTGAAAAGCTTCTTGTTTAAAAGGTGAATAAGCTCAGAGTTCTTTAGGGCTGTATTTATGGATGTTTTCTAACCGGCAAACAGGTCGCCCTCGTCGTCAGAGTGAACCCCGTTAGTGTTGGACTGGGCCGAGGGGTCTGCTTCACTGAACAGGTCCAGAGGCTCAGACAGAGGCTGGGACTGGGTCTGAGGCTCAGAGGATCCAGCGCTGACTCCAACAGACCCGCTCTGAAAGAAAACAGCACGTCTCAGATCTCATGTCACACTGAGCAAAAGCACGAGACTCTAATTCACCGCAGTCAGAATGTATTTCCTGTGCCGTGGAGCGCAGCAGATAAAGACTGACGAGCAGATAACAAACTGCCCACAAAGTACCAAGAATCAGTTGGAAACGAGCTCATCATGACCCAATAGAGCAACTTTTAGGCTCATAAGATCAAACTTTATTGACCTCTTGATTGATGGAGGAATGTTCAATGCTGACATACGTCTTGATTCAAATAAATAACTGAAGAGATCATGTAATATTTCCATTTTAAATGACATCTACCTCGTTCAAATTTTTTGCCAGATAACTCGTTTTCAATGTAGAAGAAAACAATGTATAGCCAGAATTAAGCCCATAACCACAAAGTTCTTTATAATATCATTCGCTGCTAAAGCTTATTAAAAAGAATGAAAAGGTTGGGTACCACAGCTCACTGGGTGGAGCGACATCAGCAACAGAAAACACCAAACCCCAACAGACTCTGGACGATCTGCTTCAGACCAGATAATAAACCTCTGTCGCTGTGGCCGATGTACTATTATACATTAGTACATATTATATTCAAATATTTCCCTCTGTTTCATATTAAACTGACTTGACAAAAGGTCAATAATGTTTGGATTATAAAATGCTCTCATACATACGTTCTTTGTTATTGTGCCAACATTTCATAAGAGTTCTTTAAACTTAACGGATAGGCGGCTGAGTGGTTAGCTTTTGTGCTTGGGTTCGAATCCCGGTCGAAACAGGGCCTTTCTGCCGTGATATCAAAACAAGGTTCTCTTATCTGACATCAACAAAACAAAATATACAAATATATAACAGCTGACTACAGATGAAAAATAGCCGCTTGGCTAATTCTGGCATATTTACAGAAATGTTCATTAATATGCACTGGGCCAGTAATAAATAAATAAACTTAGGCCAAGTAGCAGCGCCTGATGGGATTTTAAGAATGTGGTCATTTAGATAAATTAGCAGCGATACATTTCTGAATAGTCTTTGCAAACAAACACACACGATTACTATGTTATTGCTTTTAGAGTGTCTATAAATAGATTTAACATAAGATAATGTGATATAGACCCTTGGGAGCGCGCGGGAAGAGCTGCAGACGTACGGTGTTGACGAAGATGTCCTCTCCCTCCTCCTGGTCCCCGTCCTCAGGCTCTCTGTGTCCGGCCTCAGGCTCTCTGTCCTCGGGGAAGGCAGGAGGACCGCGCTCCGAGCTGCCGCTGGCCGCCATCTTTGAAAACAGCGGCGGTGACGTCACTTATTCCTCTTCTGTTTGATTTCCGGTTGCAGCGCGCGCCCGTCTGCACGATACTGCCCCCCTCTGGTTATGATCATTATTGCACTGTTCAAGTGGACACAGATCTGCAGCTACAGATATGTTCCTTCGTTTGTTTCCGACAAATACATTTATAATTATAATTTAAAACATGATACATTTGGCAGATACTTTGCTTTTGTGGATCTGATATTTACCCATAATTATTATAATATTTACAATTGTCACATAGTCTTTTGTGAGATTACCTTAAATATGAGTCTACCTTCTGTTCTGACGTGTGTTTTATGATTGTGTTTTCAAATATAAAATGATTAGTTGGATTTAAAGCAGAAAACCTTCAGATGTTTGATGTTTCTGGATCCTGACGACAGAAATCACAGGGACTTTCAAATCAATGTGTGTTTGGAATTATTCATCAGATCAAAAACTTATACCTGATGTGAAAGATAGAGTGGTGCCCTAAGCAGAGCGGTGGTGGGTGTCGGGTTGGAGAGTGTTTGGGACTGAGACAAAGACGTTCTCTCTCTCTCTGGTCTCTCTCCCTGGTCTCTCTCTCTGGTATCTCTTTCTGGTCCCTCTCTCTGGTCTCTCTCTCTGGTCTCTCTCTCTGGTCTCTCTCTCTCTGGTCTCTCTCTCTCTGGTCTCTCTCTCTCTGGTCTCTCTCTCTGGTGTGTGTGTGTGTGTGTGCACTTGTTTTCAACTCCTGGTGGGGTCCATAACCTGAGATTCCACTCACGTCATGGGGACTGATTCTGACGATGTAACTGTCAAGAAGAAACCTGTAAAAAATTATGGAAAAAGAAAAGTCTAAAACACTTTTCTTCAAGACTCGGAAAGTGACGAACCAAAGGCAAATAAGATTGTTATCATGCAGCTGCAAAAGAAGAAAAATGGGGGCAGGGTTTACAGCAAGAGACACTTCTGCCTCTACTGTTCAATGTCCTGCCACAAAATGTCCCGTCATTTGACTAGAAAACATGGAAATGAAAGTGACGTAGCCAGAGCATTGGCTCTACCTGTGAAGTCTAAAGCACGTAAACTTCAGTTTCATTTGATCAGGAATAGTGGAAACCGTGAGCACAATGTTGAGGTTTTAAAGGCCGGCATTGGAACTTTAGTCCCAGCTAAACAGCCAAATTCCCCAGTTAAATCCAGTGAGTTTTTGCACTGTATAGACTGTGGGGCATTGCTTAAGCGAAAGTGGCTGTGGAGGCATGTGGCCAGGTGCCGGCTTTCACAGAAAGATGCCCAGGCTAAACCAGGCTAAACCAGGTAGAAGTAGGGTCCAGTCCCTCTGCTCCCTAGCCCAGCCTGTACCGGAGGGCATCAGCAAAAAGCTGTGGTCTTTAATTTGGGCAATGCATCAGGATGAGGTCACGGGTGTTGTCAAAGCAGAAAAGGGGATTTTGAGACTCGGAGAGCACCTGTACTTAAAACACGGGCATGATAAGACTAAGCATGATTACATTAGGCAGAAAATGAGAGAAGTCGGTAGGTTAATTAACGAAGCAAAAACCGCAGGGAAACTGAAAACAATGAAGGATTTCTTTATTCCTTCCAACTTTAACCATGTGATTGATGCAGTCAGGTCTGTGGCTGGATATGATGAGGAAACAAATCAATACAAGACTCCATCCTTGGCCCTCAAACTCGGCCATAGCCTCAGAAAGCAGATATTCTTGAATGTGACTCAAAAATGGAGCATTGTGTTGATGAACTATTTATTAAAAACCTCCAACGAAGCCGGCTGCTTTTTGAGAAGAGGTGGGACGTCTGTGTTTCTTCTGCTGCCCTACAGACCCTCCGGCAAGCCAAGTGGAACACTCCGGACCTGCTCCCTCTGACTGAGGACGTTAGAGCCATGCATGCACATATTGAGGTATGTCGACCTGAATATGTGCAAACCCTAATACGTGAGCCAACGTCTAAGCATTGGTCTAAACTGGCAGTTTTGACTCTTTGTGAGGTCATTATTTTCAATCGAAGAAGGGAAGGTGAGGTTTCAAAGATGCCACTGACAGCGTTTACCTTAAGAAGTAAGACTGGGATCCATTCTGACATTGCTCTGGGACTGTCCCAACTTGAGAAAAAGCTGTGTCAGCATTTTCAACGCATTGAAATTAAAGGGAAAAGAAGTGGGAAAGTGGTGGTTCTTTTGACTCCTGAAATGATTGCTTGGATGGAGGTGCTGGTGGAGAACAGAAGGGCCTGTTCCATCTCTGACCATAACCCATACTTCTTCTCCCGCCCGGGCGTAGACACCCACATCAGGGGATCAGACTCCCTACGCCAGGTAGCCAAAGAATGTGGTGCGGTGCATCCAGAGATGCTATCCTCAACCAAACTTAGAAAGCACATAGCTACTATCAGTGGCGGCCGGCCAATAGAGGGCGCTAGGGCGCCGCCCCACCACTCACAACTTGCCATGTTACCTTGAATAAAACGTTAAAAAAAATAATAACATTAAAATATTTCGAAATGTATGTGTGTTTTATTTCAGATGTGGAAGAAATACTTTATAGTTTATGCTGAGTTGGATTGATTAAGCTCATCAGCGTTGTCTGTGTCGGACTGAGGACGTATTTCCGTCTATGGACTCTCGTTAAAAGTTGTACATGCGCAGTAGCTCCTCTTCAATGCAAGAGATAAGACGATTTGGGGGCGCAGGAGAAGTGCGCCCTGAGGGGGCGGGATCGCCCGCGACCTGTACTGTCACTGTCTGTGACGTCCGTTTACAGTGATTGACAGGTCAAGCTGTGGGAGTTTGAGACGAACGTAAACAGACGCAAAATGGAGAACGAGAAAAAGAATAATTCAGTTGGATCACTCTAAACAATACAGTTTGAGAGAAGATCATACCAGGAGAAGGTTGAGGTTAAAGAGCTTGGACCTGATCAGCCAAATATTACCATTAGTCAGCAGTCCAGCGACAGGGGGAGAGGTACATTCGTACTTTTTCCAGGACCTGGTTCAGCGCCAAATCTTGGCTAGCAGCATGTAGCGAGGCTAATGCTTTATTTTGCTTTCCATGCCTCTTGTTTCAAACATCAGGATCTGACCCAGCATGGATCAAGACAGGTATGACTGATCTGAAGCACTTTTTAGAAAAGGCAAAGAAGCATGAGCAGACTGGTATCCACATGCAAAATGCCCTCAAATTAGCTATGTTTGGGAAGATAAATATTTCATCCCAGCTGGATGAAAGCTACAGGGTAGGGATCAGAAAGCACAATGAGGAGGTTGACAAGAATAGGCACATCCTATCAAAAATAATAGACTGTGTCAAATTCTGTGGTGCATTTATATCGAGTCATCATATTCATAGCCCCCCCAGTAGAAAATTCCACCAGCCGCCACTGGCTACTATGTCTACATTTCTCAATATGAAAGAGAATGAAATGGACATACTAGCCAACTTCCTCGGCCATGACATTCGCATCCACAGACAATATTACAGACTACCAGAGGGGACACTGGAGCTGGCCAAAATCAGCAAAGTGTTGATGGCCATGGAGCAGGGAAGAGTGACGGAATTCAAAGGAAAGAGCCTCGACCAGATACAAATTGAGCCTGAGGGTAATTCTTGATATTATTAAAATATGTATAATTTTTTTCCCCTAAAGGCCACTTGTATTTTTATTTTCTGTGCGACAGGGAGAGCAGTAGAGATCCTCTCACAAACGGACGGGCTAAAAGAAACTTCAAGCGGAGAACCTTCAACCATTCATCCAGATGCACCCCATGGTAGTGGCAGTGCCCCGCCCCCTTCTGGTAAGTGTACCAGGTGGGGGATTACAGCCAGGCTGCTTGGTCCTAACCCTGGGAGTGTATATTGCTAATATATTTTTATTTCTCTCCCTAGAACGTTAGAGAAAGCCATGGTCTGCATCTGAGGTGAAGGCTGTGGAGAAGACCATGACGCCTTTCATACAGACTGGAAAAGTCCCTGGGAAGTCTCACTGCCTGGCCTGGCCTGGCCTGGCCTGCATTAATGCCTCACCAGATGACCTTAGACATCGGACATGGAGTGGCATTAAATTCTATGTCAAAAATAGAATCACTGCAATTCAAAAAAAAAATCAAAAATATAATTCCTTTAAAAGAGTTGTTTGTTTTCTATTGACTGTTTTGTATTACTTAAAGTAGTCCCAGTAAAAAAGATTATGTCTATGGGTCCCATTCTGAACGGCCCTGTCAAAGGGACCCACCAGGTAACAAAAACGTGTATGTGTGTGTGTCTGTAGAGTGAGTGTGTGTGTTTGTGTAGAGTATGTGTGTGGTTGTGTAGAGTATGTGTGTGTGTTTGTGTAGACACTATTCAACCTGTTGATACGTTTGGACTTGGTGAGTTTGAAAACAAAGTCCAGCTTAAACCTGACTCTGACATTTCAGAAACTCAAAGTGAAAGTAAAGGTTTGACAGTCGGTCCTCTCTTTTGAATGTCTTTTGTAAAAGTCGCTTCATGGAACTTCTGTGGGAATGAATCCACATGTTTCCACTTCAGTGTTTGTCCAGAAGAGAACAATGTTTTCAAGAGTCCAGTGGGTGAGAACAGAAAGTCACTGAGGGGCTTGTGGGGTCAGAGCGTTTATCCAGGAAAGATTAGTAAAGCTGGTAGACCCTGAGTGTGTTCTCTATTAGTGAACAGAGACTTTACATCCATAGTAACAAGCAGAGGCTCACACACTCTTCCATTTGTAAAAGAACGTGTGTAGAATCTTGTAGAAATGATGCTAAAGAGCTCGTGAAGGGCTTCATAAAGAAATCCATGTATTTTCTGCAGGTTAAGCCAGATTCTTATGCCTCTACCTGGAATCAACACAAAAGATCAAATGTTTATTAAAAACAGCCTTTTAGACTATGAACACAGATACACTGTAATCAATGAGTGACATTACAACCGTAGCCCACAAGGGGGCGCTCTAACTCTATAAATGGTGTTACGTGGAACT